TGTAGGTTGATTGGGCAATATGTTGATGATTTCCTTAAGGAGTTTTTGTTATTTAACAAACTAAATTCAACTGCTAAACTGTTGGGGAAAAAAAATGCACACTGTTTTCTGTTACTTTTTGTTCTCTATCTGTGGCTCCCTACAGTCATTTAATAAGTCTGCTAAGCCTGATCAGCCTGATGAATGACCTGACCTGTTATTTATATCTAATATATTAATAATGTACCATGTGTTTTCTAGCAGAGGACTGCTTACGAGTCGGATGAAGGGAGCTGTATTTTTTTTTTCCATATTTAAATATAGCTAGCAAATGCTGAAATATTTATGGTTTGGCTCTAGATGAGGAGAGAATAATTTTCTTCACTGTCTTTCCTTTCCTTACAAGGTAGAAAAATGGTAGCCAGAAGTGGTTCAGAGAAGAAAAATTTTCGCATCTAATTTGTCTTTATGGACTATTTTTGAATCCAGCTTGGATGTAGTCCTATGTGAAATAGTTCATTGCATGGGCTTTTTTTTTCTAGTTCAAATAATGGAGATGGAATTTTCATCTCCAGAATACAGAGACAATGACTGGAATGTCTTCTGAATCATGGATTTTCCCTATTTAAAAAAAAAAAAGAAAAAGACCAAACCAGTTATTTTTGCAATCACTGTGTTGTTTTCATATATGTTGTGATTTCATAGGGAAATCACACTTCCTTCTAACCCCAAGTCTTTGTGTGACCATGAAGTCTAAAACATGTTCTTTAAAAAGAGAGACCCAGGAGATTCTAATGAAATAGCTGGCAAAGGTGAGATAGGGAAGGGGAAGAGAGAAGTATCATAGGAATTGTAATGGATTACAGGAGCTAGGAACACTACAAAGTTCCTCTTCTGGTTTTCATTGTGATTTTTCCTGACACAAACTAAACCAGTTAGACCTTTTCTATGCTAGTATCATTCATAAAAAAAGGAGGATATAACCTCTTTGCTCCTTATAAGTGATCTTTATTTCAAAGGTTTCTTTTTGTTGTACAGCAAGGTTTCAATTGCCTTTTTATTTCCTTGGGAATTTTGGCTTTTGGAATGGAAAGTGTTGCTTGGGACAGGTTCCATTAGCATCAGAGGCTTCCTGCTCTCAGAACTGGCCTCTATTTATAGCTAATGTAACCTTTAAAATGAGCAAATAGAGCCTTATACCAAAGCCTTAGGGGCTAACCTGGTTTTGAGCAGAAAGGAGAATGAAATTTCTCTTTGTACCACCTAGAAAGGACATCTTTTCTTATACTATAACTAGTTTCAGTGGAATGTAGCAACAACAGTCATGATTTACCTGGGAAGCAACTTTAACAGATCCCAGCTGACAAAGAGCAGTTCTCTTTCTCCTTTCCAGAGTTCAGCAATGTTGCTCTCTTGCAAGCATACAAGAGAGTCTCAGGGAGTTTGCCAGAGTCTGGTGCATTGGAAAACCACCTTTCCTGGAAAGTAAATCACCTTAAAAACACTAAACTTTCTTCTGCTAACAGTTTGCTCTTTCCTACCTTTAGGTCTTGAAGTCAAGACTTGAATTTTTCCAGTTGCAGTCAGTTCGATAGGAGATCTTTGGTTTAAACTGATCCCAGATTTTTTCTCATAAACCTCAGTTTTGTTAGGTCCTAGCTGCAGCATTACTTCTCCAGAAAAAACATATTTGGTTTTATTCTTACTAAACTTTAATATGTACTGTTTTATCCTTTCTACAGTGTTGCTGTGGTCATTTGCTGTTTCTTTGTAGCTGTTAGTCAAAATGCAGTTTAATAAGTCACCCTGATTTGTAGTTTTGTCCTCTTCAGCAAGAGTTTGCCATTAAAGCTCCTTTATGTAGAAGAATAGGACTTCAACTTGAGTTCAAGCTTCGACGCGTTAGCTTACAAAAAAAACCCAGATTTAATGAGGACTCTTGGATTTCTGTAGAGGAGAGCAAGTAACATTCAGAGGAAAAATATCTCAAGCTTGTTGCTGAAAGAGGGGAAAAAATATCCAGCTGTTGCCATCATAACCTGGACATCTTAATTCTTCAGGCAGGGTTTTCTTAGGATACTGGTGAAAATATTGCAGAATAAAGAAGACAGAGAAGAGAACAAAACAATACTGGGAAAGGTATTGCAATGTGTGAGAGGAGAGGACAGATGATATGAGCCAACTTGACTCTTCCCTGTGGGTTATACATCTGGTCTTAAGGCAAATACTGCAACAGGTCTGTGTTTTATATTTTAAGATGAAAAGGAGAAGGGAAAAGGAGGGAGAAGAAGAAGAGAAGAAAGAAAAAAAAAGTCTATTGCGTCATCTAGCTTGGCAAACAGTTTCTAATTTCTCAAGAAGGCCAAAGAAGTTACAGTGTATCCCTTTATCACGTTGTTCTTGGTTGTTGAGGCAGATACGAGAGCAGAACAATAAGTCACTTGATATTTTTTTTAATTCATTATAATTCCTTCTGAAGGAGTAAAACAATGATTAAAAAAGAATCTTTCTGTGTTTACAGCAAACATTGACAGTACATAATTTTCCTGGAAAAGAAAAAAGCACTTTTTCATACTTATCGCTAAAACTGTGCCTGTTTATGGGATGATGAGTTACATGAAACTGCTATGGTTGCAATAGGACTGCGGTTCATGATATAGTCTATAGTATGCAAACTCATGTGAGAACTGGTAGAAAAATATTTAAGCGGGGAATGGATTTTAATATTTTTCTTCCAAAGAACATGGCCAATCACTAGTTGTTGTTTGTTCTGAATTGTGTGCAAATATTATGTACACATATAAACTTCATATGTACGAGGCATTGCACATAGAATATTTTTAGTTCCTAGCTAGTCAGTGGTTAGTCATTGACTAATAGAGTATTCTAATGAACAGCAGTGAGCCCAAACATGCTTATTTTATGGGCATAAGCAACAGTGTTTAAGCATCAAAGCTAAAATTTGCCTCTAAATAAATGTGCGTCATGATGCACTTCGGAAATAATTTGTAAGCAGCAAAAATCAGTTAGTGATAAAATTACTGTATGGTTTCTATTTTGGCTAATGGTGGAAACGTTATTTCCACCTTTATGCTAGTAATGTGGTAGTGACTATGGGATTCTTATCTTTTTGAGAAATCTACAACTGCCTGTTTAGTCTGAGCAAAGCATTTAGCCAGTTGCATGTATTCAGTGAGGGCCACAGAAAGGACACAATTTCCTGACTATAACCACTGAGTGCAAATAGTGTGCCCTAAGTAACACACCAGTTACTGTAAATGTCAGCAGAGGGAGTGTTTCTGACTTTGATTTAGTAAGAGCCTACAGCAAAACCAGCTGTTAACATTTCTTAACTGCTTATCAGTTTGAAGGGAGGAGCATCATTTCTACATACTCTTGTCTTTTGACTGAAAGAGGGAAACAATTTTTCAAGCACTTCCCAACAGGTGCAGAACCACAGTATTAGCTGTATTGGACTCTTACTTTGCGCCTTTTTTTTGTGTGTGCACTGAATTTGCTAGTTGTTCTTGTTAAGTTCATCTAGGAAAAAGCTGATGGCTGTCTTGGAAACACATCATCAAAGACTAAGGGAGTTCATTTCAAGTTAGCTGAGGAGCCCTTCAAGTGTGAGCTTAGCATGAAGACAGAGATTGTGCATTCATATGTCTGTTCATAAATTGTTTTAGTTATTTGTCACAAACAGGAACAGAACTAATACAACGGGGTGAAACAGTGATAAACAGAACAAACTAAGACCTTGCCAGCCTAATAATCTTTTGTAAATCAAGACAGCTTCCAATAGTTGCCATTTTCTGCAAAAGGCAACTTCTTCTGCCCTAGTACATAACTTTTTGAATGGTGGAGGACACTAGGCAATGAAATAAAAAGTACTTTGCAGTTCTTCAGGCAATATTTTTCAGGTATAGCTTTTGAGGATTTTTGCAAGGGCAAAAAAAATGTGTATGCAAATGATCTGTTGCAAAGTGAAATCTGCATGCCCAAGTCAAGTTGCTTGGTTGCCAGTGTGCATGTTGAACTGCAGGCTAATGTACAATTTCAGAATTGCAGACATTGATGAAAGTTACCAACGTGTTCAGATTGGCAGAACACTAGGGAGTCCAGTCTGTGGTGAGAAGCAGGTATGTTTTCATGTGATTATGTATTTTGAGGCAAGCACAGTTTGAGAAAAGAAGTTTTCACAGCAGCATGTGTTCCAGGGAAATGAGTAGGTGCTGACACTATTCCTGTGTGTATGATCTTTTGCATTAGTGCTAGACATGTTGTTTTCACTTATTCTTTTTCTCCTAATACAGTAAGTACTCTTAAAATTAAATACTTTGAATGAGAAATGGTGAGGGAAGGCAGAAAGAAGGAATAAGCTGGTTTTGGTTTGTTAGTTATATAACATGTGAAATCATGTTTTGAATGAAGCAAGATAAGTATTTTCCCAACAAAAGCAGATGTATTGGAGCATGTGGAGGCTGATTTTGCTGTAGAATCCAATGCTGTGTATGTCTGCTTTTGTTGGGAGTGGGTGCATAGTTCTGTTTTTAGCATTGTCACCTTCAGTGTTGTTTTGTTTTTTCATCCCTTTTTGGATTGCTGAAGCCTATGGCCTAGTGTTTGAAGAGATTAGCTTTTCTCTAAGTGATCTTAATTATTCTGAAGTGTAATTTTTCAGAGTAGACACCTACACTACAGCAAAAATCATATTAAACAACATCTTGAGAAAAAGGTGTGGAAAGGTGAAAGGAGATAATGAAACATTGAAAATACCATGTGCTTCACTTCATCCGTGGAAAATAATCAAAAAAGGGATAATATTAAAGTCTGCAGTTCCTTCCCTGCTTTTGCGTAATGAAGCTACTTTGTGCACTTGAAGTCCTTGCATGAAGAGGCTGAAATATGTCCAGCCCTTCAGATGAAGGGAAGATAAAGGGTATTTTATTTTAGCACAAAAGGTTATTTGCATTTTCACTCTCTTACTTTTCCACTTGTCTTTCCTTCTTCCTCATTTACAGCTTCTGTGATACCAGATAATGGAAGGAGATCCTGTCTAAAGCTTAAAGTCTTTGTGCGACCAGCAAGTAAGTTCTTCAGATTAAGTTTTCAGGGGTGGCTTTGTAGCGCATGCTTTACTGTGTGTTTACGCACACTTTACTCGTAAACAGCAGTAAAACTTTTTTCTACTGTTAGTTCTTGTGTATCTGTTCTGTACAGCAACATTTGTGTTATGATTTTCATCATATTTTCTTATCGTTTTTCATAAAGCTTTGTTTTAATTACGTGGCAGTTGCTAACTTGTTTCTTACACTGTTGTACAAATTGAAGACTATACTGGCATTTGGACAAATGCCACAGACTTTAAAATATTAAAATGCTTAATTATTTATAGTAAATAGAGAGAAAAAAGAGTGAGAAAAAAAGGAAAGTGGGGAGTTTAAGGGTGTCTCACTAACATATTTGGCTGTTATCTCTATTTTTGTTATAGACAGCTGTATGAAAACTATAGGTGTTCATGATCGTGTTTTCGATGTTAACGACAAAGTAGAAAATTCATTAGAACCAGCAGGTTAGTATGCTTAGAGAATTTCTTTTAACAAATGCATGTGTCCTTCTGGTGCTTCAGTACTTTTTCTCCTCTTCTCTCTGCATGCTTCGCATGGTACAACTGCTCTGCTTTTGCACATTTCTAGCAGTGCTAATATTTTGTATGGCATGTTTTCTGCATCCTTGGTTAATGCAGGGGACGAAAAATGTTGATTTGTTGTTTGGGTGGTGTGGTTTAATAAAATATGGTGCGTGCCAGTGTAAAATTTTCAGCAGTATCCTGAAGTCACTGGCCCATCAAGGCCAAGCACCCAGCATATTGACGAAGCACTCTATTTACTAACTCGTCACAAAGTTTTAGAAGTAAATTCAGTGAGCACATTTCATTTACTGTGTGGTTTCAAAAGACTTTCATAAAAACAGAACAACAGCTTGTTTAGTACTGGTGCCTGACACAGGTGTGCAACTTTCAGAGTTAGTGTTTAAGAAATTAGTCTTTTTAAATTATGTAAATTTGTATGTTCATTTGGTTAGGCAAAGTATCCATTTTACATATGCACACTCACACACATGCTCTGATATATATATAAATTCCTATGCTGTTTTTATTGGAGGAAACCTAAGTTTTGGGGGGCTTTTCAGTCTTTTTTTTTTTTTTTTTTGAAAACACTGGTTTAGGAATAAGAATAATGTTTGTTGTGATAAAGCCCCTCAGCTGCCCAGGGCAAAGTAGGATTAACCTCCACCATCAACCGAGCTGATGTATCTCTGTGTGTAAAGTGCATGTGTATTGTTTGTATGGCTCAGGGTTATGAGAGATAGAAGCATGTTTAATTCTAGGTGTGTGAGTAATCCCACCAACTTCAATGGAATGGCTCGTGACATCAAAATTAGGTGGGTATGTAGGAAAAGTATTCGCAATAGTAGTAGTAGCTGTTTATTTTGTATGTACCTACACACTGCTCACACATTTTTTTATTCAAGCCTCAGTCATTAAAATACACAGTTAAATAAACAAATTATACCAGAAAAAAATTACACACATACAATTTAGTGTATACCCTGAAGAGCAGATTACCAAGATTTTTTTTTCTCTTGTGCTATTTGAAAGAGACTTCCCCTTTGGTATAAAGCAGCATACTATTTTTTTGCTCTTTGTTATTTACAGTTCCTTTAACTAGAAGGCATTATTTATGCAGAAGTATAAATAAGTCTTTCACAAGTTATCCAGTTTGAGTTATTTGCCTATGGATGCACAATAGATTTTACTAATTTTCTTTAAAAGTATTTTCAGAAATCTAAAAAGTTTGGTTTTGAGAGTCAAAGATGTTCTCTAAGCAAGCCTAAATGCAAGGAGATTGAATTTACAATAGGTACATTTGTACATGTATTAACAGTCTTCTTTTACAGAAGCCATTAGGATGATTTTACCCTGTGTCTAGGTAACCTGTGAATCTAGAAACTCAATGGACTTTTTTGCATTGCGTGATTTGGTGGACATGGGCTAAGTAGTGTGTACTTCTCCTGTTACTGATTTGCAAAAGAGATCATCTGAGTAGTAAATGCCTGGTTTTAGTAAATGCCCTGAGCATTTTTTTCAGCAGTGCAGCTCACTTCCCATTCAATGGCTATGCCTGACTAGGACCATCACAGAAGCATATTGTTAGAAAGCAGCAGGCAAACCCAGGGAACCAAAATCACGCAAAGAGCATCCTGCGGTCTGATATGAAATATTATTTGTGTTACCAGGAGGAAAGAATAGTTTTAATGAGAAGGTTTCATGCCAGAAAGTTCCCACTCCCAACATCAATGTATATTTGCATTATTATTTGGACCAGTCACCATTAGATAATGAGTTGTTCCTAGACCTGCCAGCTGCTGTCACACTTTACTGTTATTAGGCTGTTAGACTTGCTGCTGCCTTGGTGGATCTTACTGTATATGATCTGTGTCGAGTACTAATTTACTGCCTCTAACGTGCATCTTCTGCTTCTGTGCTCTCCTCTAGCCTGCCGATGTCTTCTTCCACAGTAGACAAAATAACTGGGAGGCAGGAGGGTCATGTTCAGTGGATTACTTACTGTCACCTTTCTTTTAAAAATCACAATTTGTTTGATTTTTGAACCCTTGTAATTTCACTGCTTTTGTTCAGGAATTTGTAGGAAACTGCTCTATAGAGATCACACTTGTTTCAGAAGTGATGAAAGTAATTGGCCCTATTCCTGTGCTCCCCTTCTTTTTCTCCTTAGTAATAAGACTAAGAAGTCCCTAAACAAAAAATGCAGCTATGCATATCTGGAAAAAATATACATGGAGCATGTTATGTAAAGCTATGTGATCTGGAAAATTCATGGCTGTCAAAATACTTTTTTCTAATTAGTGCTGGTATTCTCAGTCTTTATGTTACTCAGGAATTTTGTCCTCTTCATTACTTGCCTGCACTGTTTAAAATAAAACAAAACCTTTTCCCTAACCATTAAATATTGTTATAACTCTGCACCTCCAAGGAAAAACATATTTGTAAAGTGATTTTGAGAACTACCAATGAACGGTATACTCTAATATAGGAGTGCAGAGACCTTGGGACTGCATTGACAGAAAACCCAGATGGTTTCTTGAAAGGAACCCGTTAATGTTACGTGAAAATTAGTTCTCCTGTGAATAATGGCTTTATAAAAATGGCATCGTAGAAGATCACCGTGTTTTATTTAAGAGAAATAATCTTTCTAGTTCAGGATTTTTTCATTGAGATTTTTTAGCAGTAGCCACTATTCCAGTCATAACAGTATCTGATAGTCAAAGAGAATGAGAATTTATTACTGCGCTACACTACTTCTGCCCTATTGTGTTTTAGTGCTGACTCATGAATGTAATTAGGACAAAACTGTTGACATTCAATGTTGCAAATTCAGACTTATTTGCAATTCTGTTGATAATGCAAGAGTTCGAAGGTAATGCACATCATTCTCCCCTGTAGTTTTAGTTCATCAGCAGTGAGTAAATGTTTCCAAATTGGGAAGAGCTGACTCTAAATATGTGGAAGGTGGTAGAGCTGACAGCTAGAACAGGGATATTTTTTCCCTGTAACTTCTTAGAGTATGATTTAGTTGGGAAGCTGCTCTTGTGAAGTACCGTATTCTCATTGCATCATCACCAACGTACAAGAGTGTAACTCAGAAGTGAAATGTGAAACACCTTTTGGTACTGAACCACTGGAACTGATGGTTTTCAGTAGCCTGCATTCACTGAAATTTTTAGATTCCTTTGTAATAAATCTGGAGGAAAAATATTAGGGCCTTGTTCAGGGCCAAAGTGCCTGTGAGGGTCTCCCTGCTGTTCATGGTGAGGAGCTGTAGCCAAAGTCATTCCAGCCAGTCTTTCCCACCTTTCTTATAAATGTGAATGTATTTACAGCTGACCAGTACTTGCTTCTCATACTTTTATCTTGAGCAGCACTGAGAACCTGTCGATAAGCCTAAGGCGATGGTAACGTCAACTAGTGCTGGAAAAAAACACTGTGCTTCTTGCCGTGTAACCACAGTGGAACTGAAGAGCCTCTTAACTAAATTATGCCAAGTGCTCTACCTGCTTTTTCGCTAGGTGTCAAGGGTCTGAAAGGGAGGGAGCTTGCTTCTGTCTAAAGCTAAATAAAAGGCTCCATGCCAAAGCAGCAGAGTGATCACAGTGACTCCTACTTCCCTTTGTGCCTTTAGTTGGAATTGCATAGTGTAATCCTGCAATTTGCTGAGATGGGAGCTATGAGACAGATATGTCATAGGTATGTCAACACCTCTCATAAAATGTGGGAGCTTATTACATGAAGCAGTGAGATACTATTAATTTTCCTGGAAACTTAGGCACTCTAGAGTAAGTCATGAATACATTTTGAGGCCACTTCACACTTCCTAAAACGGTTTAACTAATTTCATTCATTTAGTACTAAGAAAATTTGAACACAGAGATGATTTTTTATCCAAGCCTCAGACCGATTACTTTTAAAATAGCCAAATTAGATAGCTGTGGATATATGGAGGGCATTGCAAAGAAAAATACCACACCTATAACAACACTGAAGTTGAATTTAGCTTTATCTACCTTTTTTAATGGTTACTACCTTTTTTATGTGGTTTTAAGGCCTGTCTTTAGTTTACAAAAACTAAACAGAGCTTTATCTGATATTATAAATCTAGTATTATCTACTGTCTTCTTTTTTTGCCAGTAATGTATAAGCATGTTTTCCCAACTCAGATGGTTCTTTTTTTTCATTAGTTTCAGCAGCATATATGTAAATCTGTATTTTGTGTGCCATAAAGGTAGTCTGTTACCTATGGGGTTTTCCAGATTGAGTATGTATTCTATAAAATCAGAGATTCTCATGTGTTAACCTTTAAAGTTCCATTTTGAGCAAGGAAGACTGGTCTTACATCCCATGCATATTCCCAAATGTGGAGATTTTATGTGTGGAACTAGAATACATGCTTGGGCTTGCAGGCTGTAATTTCAAATTCAGGAACCAAAATCTGTAACTCAGTACAGGAATTAACTGCAAAATTAAATCTGAGCACATGCAACTCTTCTTCAAGCCCTTTTGAAAATCAGGTGTTTTTATTTAGCTGCCTCATTATTGACATTGCTATCTAATGAGCCATCCAAAGCTAGAGCTACAGTGTTTTATTGGAAAAGGAATCTTTCATTCTGTAATCCACTGAAATCAGACTTACTTTTTGCTCCTCTAGTCTTCAGTGGGAGTTTTGCCAGTAAGAAATGCAGGACTTGGCCCCAAGTTGGTTACATAATGAGATATTACATGCTTGTGAAAGTCAATGACAGCACAAGGTTTATTGCCCTATTTCAAAAAGGCACTGAAATCTACTTACGGTTGTCAGCTCAGTGAGAGTTTATTAAGGATGCAAAATCTCATTGGAATGTATGCTTTCTGTTTGAACAGATGATACCGTACATGAGTCAGCCGAGCCATCCCGTGGTGAGAATGCGGCACAGACACCAAGAATACCCAGCTGGCTTTTGGCAACTCTGTTGTTCCTCCTGGCAATGTTTTTGATATTATAGCACAGTATGCTTCGGCAACCTGTCGCAGAAAATATCAGGGTCTTGGAACATCAAAGATCCACCTAACTGGTCATCCCAGGAAAGGGACTTTATTGTTTTTGCAGATGTCAAATTGTTATTTTTCCCTTTTCTTCTCCTTTTAGCCTGAACTCAGCAAAAATTTGAAGGGGATAATTAGCTTCAGCACCCATCCCTACCTACCCTATGACTTTCTTAACCCTTCCGTATAAATAAAAGGACTCCAAATGAAAATGCCAAACTATAATAGTGACACTAGTGATTCTTATTTTCCTCTGCATTCTCCTTTAAGAAGTCACCTCTGTTAGCTCACTGTGTCATCCATATGTGGACAAGGAATAATAGTGACAGATGCAGTCAGTGAAGAATAAGGAAAGCAAGTAAAAGCCTGCGAGAGTTTTTCTCTCCAATACAATATTTATGCCTTCTCGTTCAGCACTGTAAGATGATCATGCAAGGCATCGTGTCACCATGTCAGGACTGGAGGGGAAATATTAAGAATGGATATAATATAATACCATTTCTTCCAGGAGTTTCTAAATGAACAGGCTTACGAAATGGAAAGACGGTGTTTCTTATAGGACTGTCTTGAAACAAAACATCTTTGACAGTAAAATCTGTGGTTAAAAGTAGAAACTCAGTCTTTGGAGAGAGGAAGAAGTTAGTATTTAGGAATGATAGCACACAGCAGGCAAGGTCAAATTTAGGAAACTTCACTGGGGGTGTGAGTGCCTCTGTTATTTCGTTTTATGGGGATAATGCACACCGGATCATTTTACTTTAAAACAAATCACCGTGGTGCTACAATTTTTTTTTCTTGAAATGCAGAGGCACTTTTGAGAATAAAGTGACCTTCCCCAGCGCTGACTTAGTAGCTGATAGTCTTGGATGCTGCTCTGGGTGTTAATACATGCTAAGAGAGTATGTCAATGGCCAGAGGAAACATGCTTGGGACACAGGATCTCCAGTGTGCTCTTGATTTGTCTCTCCTGCAAGTTCCTCAATCATGGGAACAAACCACACATAGAAGAAGCGAGGACAGTCCAGTAGCATTGTTTGGTGGGGGAAAGAAAAGAAGTGTGGAGTATGAATTCAAGTGTTGATTTTTTATCTTTTCCCCTTCCAGCACAGTTTGAAGAGTAGAGGAAACGTGTTTATCAGCTGGAGATAAACTAGATCGGCTCCCAAAGACTTAACAAAATATTTTTTTAAAAATCCACTAGAATAGAAAATACATTATTTAGATATACTTTATGCTAAGAGTGAGTATATATGCTTGTCTTATTTAAACATGTGAGAGAAGTGGTAACCCTTCATGCAATTAGGAAATGGGACTGTCTTGTTTGATGGAGTTAGGAGTGACCCTGTTTAAGGAATCTAGGCCTTGGCTAACATAGAACTTCAAAAAGTCCTTTTCCAGGAAGTGCAAGCCTTGGGGTTTCTTTTTGTTGGGCTGCCTTGAAATTTGAAGAGCAAAGCATAATCGGGGAAATATCAAACCAAGACCGAAACAAAGCTTTTCTAACAAAAACTATGATAATAATGTTAAATGTGAAAAAAAAATGGAGTGCATTCAAACAAAACAAGGGTTTTCTCTATTAATTCTGAAGAAAAAGTCTGCCATAACAAAATTGAGTGATACCATTAATGGACAGCACTCTGTGGGATTTTTTCTTTTATGAATAAAGGCTTTCCAGAAGTTGAAACAGCCCACTATTTAAAAGAGGAGGATAGGTGGAAATAAATTTAAGATGTAAAGGGAGGTTTTATGCATGCTAAACTATGGTCTGGGCTTGCCTGATGTCATACAACACAGTTATTAATGCAGGGCCTGTGCTTACAGGAGGAATGTAGGAAACTTTCTCTAGTGTGAACTGCACACAATAAAGATGTGCAACCTAAACAGTGAAGGAGAGTCATCCTCTCATTACAGGCTATCTGGTACTTTTCTCTCCTCAGTGTGGATGTGCTTGGTACACATATTAATACTTCCTGCAGGTAGGAGTTAAAAAGCTTTGGATGAGGTGAGCTTAATCACAATGCGCCTTATCAAATGGAGTATTACCCAGGGTACAGATAATATTGCATGATAGGTAACCATGTCAAAATTATTCTTAGCAATTGCAGGCTGTCATATCAGTAGCACCAATTTCAGGTAGAAATGGTGAATTAATTTTTCATCCTTTGTGTCTGAATGATGTTGGAGTTCAAGATACACATTTCACCACAGCAAACAATTTTCACTAGTGTTACTCCTGGTGAGACTGAACCCTTTGTTTTGTCACAGAGTCCTGCTGGGTAATGAGGAACAACTGAGTGATGCAGCTGCAAGGCAGGTTCCTGCACTGCCTGGGATGGCTGAGAGCATACCAGACACTGCCAGTTTTTTACTTGATGGCATCAGGCAATCTGAGTCATGCCAAGTACATAAATTTTGATGGGCTTTGTGATGCATTGCAAAACTCTGGGTGCTTTAGATGCAGATGTTGGTGCAAAATAATGAAATTTCTGCTCCCTTCCCTTTTTTCTGCTCCAGCTCAAGTCTGAGGGACTGATTCTCCCTCAGCCTAGGCGGCTTCCTTACCCCCATGACCTGCACTCCTGACTGCCAAAGGCATTGCAACCTAAAGCAGGAAAAATAGGGATCAGTCAGGTTAGTGGATACTGTGTATCCTTTAATAGACAAGGTAAAATTTCGTGTTAGTTTAGAATATTGTTTTGTACTGTACTTACTTGGATGACGAAGGAAAGACAAGTAAAACTTAAAGCTACGTTCTTTAAATTCTGTATTATTAGCAACCTCTGTTGTATATAGTGTTTGATAATAAAGTATTAATTTGATTCTTATGTCTTTTGTAAGTGAGAACAATAGACTTTCAGGATATTAAACTCACACGTTGATTACAAGACAGAGCTTTGAAGCATCAAGTGTGATCATGGCTGAGAACTGAGAGACAAGTGGCCATGACACTGCAGCATACAGAACTCATCTTTGAAAATCGTTCATCTATTGCAAGACTTCCCAATGTCAAGACCTGGAACAACAAGACTTTTAATGATCAGTGTTTTGTCCTCAGTGTTTAAAGGTCTGATGTTGGAGCCCTGTGGTTTCTGTGTTAGTTTTTGTTCTTTTGTATCATATTTGTTTCTAAAAAGGCTTTGGGGATACCACTCTTCTGTTATTTTGTTTGTTTGTTTATTTTTATTTCTTCCTGTTTTCTTTCTGGTTTTATTTCCATTAATAGTTTTGGTTTGTTTTTTCCAGAAAGGATCTTGCCAGTGTCGTGTGAGATATATGCTTGTAGATGGTTCCAAAAGAAGTAGAAACAAATTTGGGAGGTACTGAGAGTAGATGAGTAGATTGCTTCCTTTCCTGTATAATTCTGGAAGGAAAATGATTGTATTTGTACCTATTGATTCCCGCCCCTAACCCTTAAAACTGAGATTAATCCATTGCCTTGTGAGAGCAATGGTTCAGTCACTTTCAGAGGCTTAGTGTTAACTCTTCCCCTCCTTTCATTACACTTGGATTTTGTAATCGCCAGTTTTAATGTAGAGCCCTCCACACTTTTCTCCCCTCTTCCTGCCCTTCCTCCTCTCCCACCCTCCTCCTTTTTTAGTTTGGGGCTGTGAATGGGCAGATCTGTTTCTGGTCTGGCATCACTGAGTTTTTCCCGTGCATTTGCCCTTGAGCTTCTCAGATGTGAGACAAATCTCCCTACAATAGGCTTGCTGCCATTGTTTGTACAGTTTAATAGATGCTGGCATGTTGGAGGTTACCCATGAGTCTGCAAAATCTGCTTTCCATGCATACTCTTGACACCCCATTGAAGACACTCATTGTGTATGCATCTGGGTGTGAAAGTCCAGCTCAGTGTGGTCCTGTGCTTGTACTGCCCTGCTTTGCAGTTTCTTTGCACTTATTCATTGAGTGCTGTTTTTTGAAATGCTTACATTATATGAATTTAAAAGAAAATGTTAAAAAAAAAAGAAAACCCACCCCAAATCCCTGCCCCATAAGATCTGTGTTTGTATATACACGTGTCCGTACGATTATACTTAAATAAAATTAAAGATTTTCATCATTTTAATCAGTTCTCTTAGGCTACATTTTTCTTCAATGAATTACATCTTTATTTTGGGGGCTGTTTGTACCTACCTTAGATATTTGTGGGCAATAGAAAGTGATGATGAGTATGAGTGGGAAAGTGTGAGGAAGGCAGTGAGCACAACAGCTGACTATCTAGAGCTCTAACTACCAACATCCTGGCTGCTCTAAAGCCTGGCTGCTCTGCTCTTCACGTTTTTTTATGTGTTCATAGCTCTTCCAAATACTTGGGAGAGTAAGGAACTATGTCAGACAAGTGCTGGAGCATGACGTGGCTTACACTTTTACCTTGCACTGGGCCTCCTGAGTAGTCTTGGTTACTCCTCTGGGTAAAAGATGTTTGCATGGTGTAACTCTTGCTTCTTGAGGAACAGAGCCAGCCCAAGAGGTGTGCAAACAGGGCAGTTGCACATGGTGCCCCTCTACCCAGGATGCCTCTCAGACTGACAAAGAGATGGGGTTGGAAGTGGCTTTGAAATCTCAGCCATGGTTTTCTGTATAGAAGGGAGGAAAAGGGCTGAGAGCAGTAGTAGCTTCACGGATGGGAGAATTTGAGCAAGGGTGCCTCCTGACTGGAAGAGGGGGAATGAGGAAGCAAGCAGCTAGCTGGCTGTTTCTCCTCCTTCTTTTCACCTCTGCCCCCAGAGGCTAATGTAGTGCCTCTAAAAATGCACAGGACTGGGTTGGGGTTGGCTTGTATTGAAGTCTGAAATGGTTGGTTTTGGCAGTGCCTGTTAACTAGTCATATGACAGTTTTAACCTGAGAATTTAGGTCATAGAAGGTGGGGGGCACATACCAAAACCTTTAATACATGCACCATCCATTCAGAACTCTTCTGTAATTACACCATGTTAGCATTAAACTCACTGAAAGCTTTTTATTACATTTAATTAGTTGACAGGGCAGCAAGGACTAATTATAACTTACTCTAACCTTCTTAACAAATGAGAAGTGAAAGTTTGATGAAAAGTGTGTGTGAGTATTTGATACAAAGAATTGATGCA